CTTCTTGCAACAGAAATGTAAAATAGAGATTTTAGGCCATAATCATGTAGTACTCAACTAAAAGAAAGGATATACCAAGTTTTAATAAGATGTGTTCAGAAATATGCAAGTTATCGTATTTTATTTTTTCCCCATAAGGTTGACACAGGAAAGCGGGTATTCTTGTTTTCTTATCATTAAAAATGAAAAAGAAGGACATTTTAGGCCATTGTGCAATACTTCTCAACTAGGATAGCCCATATACCAACTTTTATTAGGATGTGTTTAAAATAAGCCAAATATACAATTTTGTTCAATTCGCTCAATTTAATTAATTTTTGATTTTTTACAATATTTTAGATTTTGACAAAAATAACCCCGATAAAAGGTATACATAAATTTACATTTCCTTGTTCTCCATTAAACTTTACATTTTTTGGTAAAGTTGCAAGCTAAAATCTTGAATGGTTACTACATGAAGAGCTGTCAAAAACAAAATATAATTTGTAATATAGATTTTTGTGAAAATATTTAATTTTTAAACTTATTCGTTATCAGTCATAACCAACATGTTTGCCCAAATCAGTAATGATATCTCTTTATAATTTAATATTCTATCTATCAATGCAAGTTTTATAAACATATCTTGTCAATATGGAGGTCAAAAAGTTCAACATATACACTAAAACCCGAAAAAAAAAACTAATTTTACGTATAACTAGACAACCAGTGAGTATAGGACTTATGCTTTTTGGACATTTTTTTCAGTTTTGACCACAGGAACCATTTCCCAAAGTTTGTCACAGTTCCCGTGAAACAGCCTGTATATATATACAAAGCTGAAATGCTATACTATAAATTACCGTTGAAGCCTCGTGGATGTATTTTAATATTAAATTATTTTAACTATAAAACTACAACCATATTCAAGACATTCCTGATTTTGATTAAACCTAAGATATATTTTGTCACATAACGTATCAGTTTAAACTTACAATCTTTATACCCTTGCTATTCGTATATTTAGCGGGCAATCTTTCCAATGTGTGATAGTGAAGAGTGGAGGTAATCTTGTAAAATCTGCTGAGATAACGAACAGAAGTCCTCACAGACAGAGGTTTCCAGATGTTGAATTTTGCAATCTTCACGTTAAACTTGTAGATTATGCTGAACGTAAACTCAGTATAGCTGAAGTAATCTTCAGCTCTAAAAGTCGAATATTTCCTTACAGAAATGTTATTAAACAATTGAGCGCAAACCATATTACTTTTTTCTAGCTTCAATCTATCTATGAAGTAACCTTCTGAGCCGAATACAAACGCATTAACTTCATTGTCACCTTCTACGCATTTAACAAGCAAACTTTTGCCTGGTACGAGTTTCAAGCTTTTTTCAGTTATTTCACCACCTTGTAGTTTATTTTCTGGGTCGATGCGCTTCGGCAAGAGTTGCCAAAATTCAAAAAACTCGGACACACCTCGTTGTATAGGAAAGTCCAGAACTGAAAGATCCACAACACACAAGATACATTATACAGCTTTATTAAAAATAAATAGTATTATCTAACTGTGCTGGTTTTAATCTTGATACAACAAACCTGGAAACCTCTTTTTTCATCCAGTTAAATAGACTTGTTCTTAGGGGTTTTTACCTATTAAATTTGGTGGAAGATTTTAAAGTTTGTTAGTTGTTTCCACTTTTGGATGACCTTTAAAAAGGAAAGATTGAATTTACATCGTAATACTTTGAATGGATGTTTTAAAAGTCGTGATCACGTAATGTAAATCCGTACAAAACTAGATTTTATGTGGGTTTTGTAATTAAATCAACAAGTACTGACAAAATAAGAAGAAATTACCAATGTCAATGAGTTTCAATTAACCAGAATTCTAAATTGTTCAAATTATAAACCGATAAGTGTTGCTTTATAGTTAGAATTTATATTAAATTATAATAGCGTTTGTTTAAACTCAAAAAAGGTTTAAAATATCCTAATTAACTGTTAGTAAAAAAAATATTTTTATAAAAGACAAGAATTATAAGAGTTATATTAATCTACTAGATAACTAAAAATAACAATTCATGTAGTTTTAATAAAAAAAAAACTTATTTATGAAATGACAGTTCGAGATTTGTTTTTACAGCGTGTTGATGTATTTACAAATGAATTAACAAGGACTGTTCCCAGCAACATCATTTTTGGTGATTTAAGCTAAATTGGAACGATAGCTAAAAAGCTTAAGGTTATTTTTGAACACCTAACCTGGAAACTGAAATCAAAGTCAAATCAGAATCAGAATTATTAAAAAAACTATACATAGAGGATGAGATTCACTTAGACTAAACATAAGTAAAATAAAGACCATTAAGATACAAATACAGACACACACGCTAGAGGTACATACTATTTATACTGTATTTTTTTAATAAGTCACAGTACCACATTCCTCATCATCAAAAAACTCCCTTGACTAGTGCATAAATTAAAATAAATCTTTTTCCCCTTTTATATAACCAGTAAGTAAGAGACTTAAAAGTGACGGATACACGCAAAAAAAGGCTGGACAGTGGAAATGTCCCTTCTAAGATTGATTTGGTGGCTGTATGTGGTTTTAAGTTGGAGCAGACTTACATCCAAACAAAAAAAACCACACGCACACATGTTGTTAAATAATTTTTTAAATAACTGCCTAAATTAAAGAATATTGATTAAATGAATATCGGATTTACCATGGCCTTTGATTTCCATCCCATTCAAAAAGGATCCCATATCAGATAAGCTTTGACCAATCTGCAACAGAATAATCCTATTTCAGATTGAACAAAATCTTTTTTATCCTGATTATTATGTGAATGATAAACATTAACATATTAATCACAAAAATTTCAACCAGCAAGATGGGGTCATGGAAATTTCGTGTTATGGGGTTTGAAATTTACTGACTGTGTAAAGTTGTAGTATACTTGGCTGTTTGAAGTTGTAGATCACATTACATATGAAATAGTATACAGCCAATATTTTGAAAAATATTTTAGAATTAGCGTTTTCTTATTCTTTTAAAACATAACAATGCCAAATTTTCTTTGAAACCAGTGGGGCCCAAACATAGTGTACAAGGATCCGATGTCGGAGAAATAAATATAACGGAGAAAATAAAAATGTACATTCTAAATTGCCATGCTATTTTCATAGAGCAAAAGTAAAATTAAAAACAAATGAAAAGAATGAGTAATAGTTTACTTGTTATGGTCATATTTTTATTCAATTTGGTAAATTTATTTATTCAATACCAAGCTACATTTCACTGAAAACACTCTTTTCACCTGATATTTAGAAGCAACCCTATGTAACCTTAGGATCTAATGTTGTTTGAAAGGAGAATAAATCTGACCAGGTGAAGGAAAAATAATCCAACCAGACAAATTGGAATTCGCTTAGTCTGCAGGTTTGCTGTGGCAGGACTGTTTGTTAAATGGTGCAGCGTCAGTGTTTAACTCAAAACAAAATATCTTTCTGTTCTACTTATCATGAATCACATACAGGATTGTATGGAATCTCTTAAGCAAAAAGCTGTGTTAACATTATTGAACAGATGACTTTTTAATGCTTTTGATTTTTGACTAGCATTTGAGGATATCACTGTACATTTAAATTGAAATGTAATAAGATGGGTGTTATAAATATCTATATATTAATAGGCAAGCGTGTTTCTTTAAAACCTTTTTTCTCAGATCGCGTGCATCGCATAAAAAATCTACGCACACTCTTAGAAAGATATTTTTCTGTAGGTGTGCAGAATCCTTTTATAAATTATAATAGGCTCAAAAATAAGCCCAAAAATTGAATTGAAAGTTTAAAAAAATTAACATGGACCTTATATGTTGCCATTCTGGTGACGAAATAACAACGAAATCAGAAAATCAAAACAAATGGAATAAATTCCAATCACATGTTTTTTTACAGCTTGGGGTGAAAATAGAGAAGTCTGTACATTACATAAATTTGGTCGAGTTTTCGACCACTGGACGACCTCTAGTTTAAATAATTGTAAACAAAATGGAAGTTGATTTATCAGCTGATGTAATACAAAAGTACTGTACCGGAGTGTCCTTTAGGGCTTCGCACTACGGTTTGACTATTTTCTAGATTTCACTTCCAAATGTCCAGTGATGCTAAACAGCTTTTTTTCCTCTTCAAGCAGCAAATACATGCGGTATGGGTCTAAAGCAGTTCTTTTACTCCCTTTCTAGTAAAAAGCATTTTTCTTTTTAGTCGCTAGGGAGTAAACGTAAGATTTTCGTGGTGACGTGCCTAGTGACGTGACTGGTGACGTGGCAGGCGATGTGGCTGGCGACGTGGATGGTGACGTGACTGGTGATGTGGCTTGCGACGTGACTGGTGACGTGGCAGGTGACGTGGCAGGTGACGTGGCAGGTGATGTGGCTGGCGACGTGGCAGGTGATGTGGCTGGCGACGTGGTTGGTGAAGTAACTGGTGACGGGGCTGGTGATGTGGCTGGTGACGTGACTGGTGATGTGGCTGGTGACGTGGCAGGTGATGTAGCTGGCGACGTGTTGGTGACGTGACTGGTGACGTGGCTTGCGACGTGACTGGTGACGTGGCTGGTGACGTGACTAGTGATGTGGCTGGTGACGTGGTTGGCGACGTGGCTGGAGACGTGGATGGTGAAGTGACTGGTGATGTGGTTGGTGACGTGGTTGTGACGTGGCTGGCAAAGTGATTGGCGACGTGGCTGATGACGTAGTTGACAAAGTGACTGGTGACGTGTTTCTTATGTTTTTTTGAATAAAGTAGGAAAGTGTATATCGGTTAAAGATTTAGACCTTAACTCATGAAATTAGATTATGCAACTCGATAAACAATAATAAACAATAAAAACAACACATGAAAAACCTAATTTATATTTTATCAATGTTTTAATCAATTTGTTGCACATCTAATGTTAGAAATTGTGAAAATGGGAATTAGGGCAAAAGAGTTAATACATATGAAATCTTACCAGTAATGATCCAAAAACCACAGTCAATATTACGAGTAGTTTCATTTTACAGGTATACGGGTCGAACTAGACGCGCACAAACATTTGGAGCTCTGGATGTACAGTACGTAGTTTAGTTGTCAAATTAAATAGTGACAAATTACCACAGGCATCGTCTATCTATCAAAATTATGGCGCGAATCAATAATCGTAATACGAGTATTTTGTAGCGAATTGCTCTATAGTGAAGTAGCTATTACCGTAGGTTGGATGGTAATACCTAAGCCCCGGAACCAATTTACTTTTCCATTTTGATGTCCCCAGAGGCCAAAAACACCATTCCTTCAAATATATTTATATATATAACAGTATATATATATAACGGTATATATATATAACGGTATATATATATAACGGTATATATATATATAACGGTATATGTATATATAACGGTATATATATATGTATGTATATGTCCATGAACACGATGAAGGTGTAAGGTGGGATTAAATCAGCAATTGATCCATTTTTTTTTAGTCCAGATAATAAAGTCATAGAAAGGGTTATGAACAGTAAACAAAGCGTACATCACTTGGCTTTTTTAGTATCTAAATCATATTTTCACATCTAGTCACGATACATTATAATGCCTGGGGCAATTAAATTCCTACCCAATCAGATATTAAAAAGTGACAAAAACCTTAACGTAAAATTGCACTAATTAGCTCTAGGCAGTCATAAATATTCAAATGCAGATTTGCACCTGCCTTGCAACTTTGCACCTTTAACAGCAGCGTGATAAAGTCTTTTTAGTTTTCTCGTTCACTAACCGAAATCCAAAACTCTCCTTTGAGAGAGCTTTTATAAGACCTTTCAAGCGATAATTCCAGAGGTAATTAGAATCAAATACAGTAGCCTCAGCCAATTTCACCTTTAATTAGATGTGAAAATTGTGGTTAAGTCTACAACTTTATTTTCGTTTATTTATGCTTAAATTATTATGTTTAAAAGATTTCAAAATATTAGTTTACGGTTTTAATAGTTTTGTTGGTAGTATATTTCGATATTAGCGCCAATCTAATACCTTTCCATTCATTTTTAAATTGATTGGGGCACTCATACAGACATGTTGCTGAAAATATGCTAAGATGAAAAAGCCGCTTTATGCTGTATGAAGAAGGGTTGTATTATCTGTAGTAGTCAAACTCTCAAAAGCCATTTAACTTGTTACTTTAAACGGTTTTTAATTTGTTTCCGACTCTATCTTGGCTTTTATTGATATTCTAACGTTTACGTTTAAGTACCTAAAGAAAGTTTTAGAAAATATATTAAATCCAGCCACATCCAGTATTTAATATCAATTCATGCAAACTAATGACTGGTTTGATCTGGTTCAGAATGGTGCGATTTATGCAAGTCTCGTATGTAGTATTTCTGTATCAACATCTACGCTTATCGTATTTACGTTCTTCGCTGATTCCGTTGATTGTAACTGTGTTGTTCAGCTTTAGTATGATGACCAACACTCCAGAAATAATAAATTGTGGAACTGAAGTAAAAACCACTACTAAACCCAATGATGAGTTATGTTTGGCTTCTAATTTATATTTTGTTAACAATTCCCCTCGTAAGATCTGTAGATTTGAGTATAAATTTCATTGATTGTGAGTTTTTTTATTTGATGTCATATTATATAATCGATCGTTCTGCGAAGTTTTTGTATTCTTTAATATACATTCGCGTAAAAGTGAATCGATGTATCAAGTTACAGTGAATGTCATTAATTAAAGTAAATCATTAGAAACTGTATTCTAGCCTATCTGCGATACATTTCACGACATTGGTGGTGACAAATAAACGACAGATAATGTTTACAAATTAACTGATTTGGTTGGAAATTGTGTTATGTAAACACATTATTCAGTGGTACATATGTTCATGAAGAAGTGTATGGTCTGTCTGACTGATTCTGTGATGTTTCCAGAGGCAGAGGATCATTCAAAAACGGTTACACCTCTCGACAAGTTGGTATAGTTAGACAAGCACTACTAACTTGGTTGGTTTTTAACGCTGAGCATATAAATAATATTGATTTAAACTACGTAAGACCTTGAAAAGATTTTTTTTCCTATAGGCCTATCATATTTATATTTTACACAGAGTTAGACTAATTCCTCAATTGTTCACATCTGCAGTATTTATGAGTAACTTATCAACTACTTACTGCCAAGACATCTTATATTGTTAATCTAAGGAGAATGTTATTAATCTAAAAAAAAATCCTTTCTAAAATACTAACTGTACCAATTTCGTGAAATAATCTATTTTTATTTTCTGCTAATTGATTCAATTTGTGCAATACCTATATTATTATTTTTTTATAGCTTTTCCGCAAGCAAGATTCTTGTAAGTAATATGCTATCATAAAAACGAACGTGAGTTATTATAGTCATTTCTAAAGAGGATTGTTGAAGTATTTTATGATGAGGGTAAACTAACTCATTTCTAATACCGTTTCGTGTAATTACCAATAATATCACATATAAATAATCGGTATCAGCATTCTGACGCATACTTTCTCCCATAAGTTTGTCAACGACCTTTATCATGTATAAGTGGCGAGAGTAAATATACGGAAATGGGATTTGTACAATTATTTTCAGAATTTAAAGGACTATAACATACTATTTTGTTCAGAATATAAAGGACTATAACATACTAAAGTTTTATCAAAATCGTTCAGGCCATTTTTGGGAAAATCCATTTTTTCCGTTATTTTAGGGGGGTTTATAGGAAAATCCCCAATAAAAAAATCAAAATTTCTAAAAAATGAAAAAACTATCAAAATTGTAAGAACCATAACATACTATGTAAAATCAAAACGGGATTTTTTTCTAAAATCCTATTTTTCGTTATTTTATGGGGTTTTTTTGGGAAAATAACATAATTTACAATAACTTTAGAACCGTAATTTTTACAGAAATTGGATTTGTACCATTTTGTTCAGAATTTAAAGGGCTACAACATACTAAATTTTTATCTACTATGGTATAGGGGGAGAAAGTAAAAAGTCATATTTAATGTTGTATACAAACATACATTATTTTCTATTGGTAGTAAGACCCAGAGAATAAATTTATTGGATTGCTTAAAATGTATTATTAAGAAACGCTTTTTGAAAAATTAACATATTAAATAGTTTATAGTTTATTTACTTAACATGTTCATAGATTTTACTCCATTCCATGAAGTACGGCAAGTATGATACAAGAAATGTTGATACAATGAAATTGATTCTGGGGTTTTAGACATACTTCCTGTCCTGATAACAATAATTACACACCAGTGTAATGATAACCAAACCTAATCAAGTTTGTGTTTCACCAGCAAAATGTGAATGTCAACTTGTTGTCGCTGTAAACAGAGTTCCATCGACAACTCATTGTGACATACAAACAAACTAGGTCCAGTGTATCAATTGTATTTACTATACTTAACCGGACTTTTGTACTATGTTAACTTTGACAAAACTCTTTTTAATACTGTTGCATACCTTTAATGCAGTTAAATTAAGCTTAAAATAAATATTTTGGAAAATGGATTGTTCTTAGGTTATTATAAGAAATGCCTAGATGTGAACTAGGTGGAAATGTCGGATATATATACTGCATACAGTAATGACAGTATTCAAAGCTTGCATTTTTATCCTGTGTAAGTTGTGCAGCCTGGCCACCTTTCAAATTGATCAAGCCTGTTACCTGTTATTTAGTGCAGATTTAACAGAACGGGCATAGATAGATTTTCCCCGTGCTCTGACTATCCTAAGTCTCACGCCTTATATTATTAATAACTTTTTGATCAGCATACTATGCTAATAGGCTAGGCATATTAGGAATATAAGTGGCAGTTAGCGGAAAGTTTAGGTACAGTCCTAATCATCACTTTTCTTTATGTTTTTTGGGTCGCTGAACACGAATATGAGGTTTGCTGACAGATATTTTGCCCGGAACATTGGTTAGTTTGTGAAAAACCTTAAAATTTGGGCACTTTTTTTGGTTTTTCTGGCAAATCTCGGTAAGTATGGGTTTTTGAGAAAATCCTGCTTTGTAAAGTTAAAGATGACAAAATTTACTACAAGTTTCCTATATAATGCCTGTTTCTACGACGAACCGTTTCGCCACTAGAGCACACTAAAAAAGGCCAGAACTACAAAAAATTAAAAACATTGCTAAATGCTGCCGTTTTACATTACGTTTCCATGGAAACAACCCATATTACGATAATTTAACTATTTATTCTTGATAACAAACTGAAACACACTTAAAAATACCCCCGAAGCAGCAAACCTGCAGACTAAGCGAATTTCCATTTCCCTGATTGGATTTACACTAAAATGTCTCCTTAGAAATATCACATTTATTCCCTATTTAAATAAAAGTTTAACGAGTACTTAGGTTTGCTGCAACAGGGAGGGTAAAAAGGTGTTTTTAGTAAAATGTAATAATTTAGTATGAAATGAATGCATTTTCCAAATTTGATCAAAATATGTTCATAAACAAGCAAACTACAACAGTTTATTAGTCTCCATAAGAATAACATGGGCATTTTAGATTTACAGTTTGGAATTTTCTCTGTCAGAAGGACAAGAAGTGTTTTAGTTCTTCATCAGAATTCTTAGCGTTGCTGATACGTTGAAACAATGTGTTGGGGTTTACGGGTAAGAATTCTCTACTTTCATCGCGTTATTTACTATGGCAAGTGGCTGGACACGGTCTGCTCGTCTGAGTTTGACCTTACCAAAGTTAAAAGTTATCTACAACTCTTTTAATGTATTTCATCCTTTTTTCTCAACCACTATAGCAGTCAACCCTGTGGCCAGACACATCTCTGTGCTGAGAAAATAAATGGGTGTTTTGTGGGAACGGGAAATGTTCCAGCAGTCAGTCATACATCTTGGCATAGATTTATCAAGTGTGTTTCAGTTCATTATCATGAATAAATAGTTCAAATTATCGTAACATGGGTTGTTTCCATGGAAACCCAATGTAAAACCTTTGTAAAACGATTAGGGTTTATTTTCATTTTTGGTTTTGCCCAGCATGATCGGACTATGGGA